TGAAACTATATGTGGATGGTTCTCTCCACGAGAATTTGAACAGAGCTGCATACGTTTATGTGTTGATTGCTCTCAATAACAGGGGGGTTGCACCAGGACAGATAAAGCTCAAGATGGGTGGGTACTCGCTTTTATTGATGCCAAGTATATAGTAGTAACCATGCTGAAAAAACAGAACCTCAGACTGTACTTGGACGAACCTTCGTGGAAACAAGGGGGCAGATACCTCATTTGTAACAAGGCGAGAAATCTCTGAATGGGCAGGGCAAGCGCGGCAACTGCACGGGACACCTGAACGATCTAAAAACTCCGAAGAGAGAGTGGATCTAAAACATTAAACCATACATAGCCTCAGTAAATAACCTCCATCAATGAACTTAGTCCAAGACCATACCGGTTTGTTCCACAAGTCACGAAAGCAGCCGCCCTCCTTTTGTCAACTTTATATCAATCATCGTACCATGCTCCATGGTTCCAGTCTTCCAGACCACTCGTCATATACACTGCATGGGCCCCGCAACAGAACGCTGATCACGGAAGAATCAAGAAGCTAGAGAGTAGAGAACCTATTTAAAAAAGAAAGAAGAGTTTGAACTTTGAACCACAGAAGCACCCAAGACACAGGCAGATTTTGACATCAAGAGGGGAAATTTGATTGGTCCAAAAAGCCAAGCAATAAAAGTAAAACGAGTCAAGTCTCAGTATGAGTTAGCTTTCCGTTGGGACGTCCCATCGAGGATGACGGTTCTCGTGGGGCAACTTCTGTTAAGCGTTTATGTCACCCCAAATCAAATAGACAGACCATCTATCTTCCCACCCAAAGTAACACTCATGAGTCATGACATGGAAAATATAGATGCCTTCATCGCGTAGACAAGTCATAGACTCGGGACCAAACCATAAGTCACGGCGCCCAGAGTCCATATAGAATATGGACGGGGGAATTACAGACAGAACCAGCCATTTTATCAAACCATTTCTACAATTAAAAGATTGGCGGGTAAGTTGCAACGTAAAAATAAAGGAATAATCAGACAATCACGTCCTTCTAAAGCGAGAAATCAGAAATCTATGAAATAAAGGAAACTTTCAAATTTCGACTTGCTAATTGCTATACGCAGTTTATTTAAACTATAGTTTGTACGTATGATCCAACTGTAACATTAAGCACAGATTCATGGAGAGATGCAAGAACGGCATGAATGCTCGACTAGATAGAGAGAGAGGGAGAGAGGGAGGGAGGGCACCGAGAATTAACATACAAGAATAAAAAAGGCAACTATTTCGATATATCAGTATCAGAGGCTTCATACAACGGTAAAATCCATTTATAAATCATCTAAATAACTGCAATATCAAAATGCGAATGTCCCCCGTCCATGGAAAAAGAAATCAATCCAATTATGTATGACACTTTATTCTCTAACCGGTCTCTCTAAAAATATAACCCTAAGCATTCGCAAGATCGCCCATACACAGCAGATACAGAGGATTTACTCAACAGAACGCATCCATCACAACCCTCCAACCAGCAGCAGAGAAGCAAGCAATCCGAACAATGCAGTGAGAAAAGATGCATCCGTCAACACCACAAACCACGGAAAACGCAGAAATCTAAAAGACAAAGCTCTATACCATCGGAAGTCCCTAAATCCAAGATGACGATGAAGAAAACCTCAAAGACGGACAAGATCTTCGTATCCTCAAAAGAAGCGCGATCCAAAGAAGAACGCAACAAAGTAAACGAGGAAAGAGACCGCGAAGGACGGAGAGGCGGCACCAGCTGCCGAAGTAGGGCTGGGTGCCGGAGCATCAGCAGCGTGAACGTTTCCGACGATAGAGAAGATGGCAAGGATGACTGCCATTAGAGCGACGAAGGAAGCTCTGGAACCGAATCTCTCCATATCTCTTTGCTAGGGTTTCGGTGGGTTTTCTTGGAGGACAGAAAGAGAGATGGAGGATTATAAGGCTTCTGAGCTTTCGTAACGGAGGAAAATTCACTCTGCACCTTGCGTGGGGAGAATGTGGCGCGCAGCAGAATTTATGGAGAGATTAATTCCGGGCAGAAGAATACGGGCAGCCGGTCACACTGCCCACTGACAGCCTGTCTCTGGTAGAGCGACAACTGGCGAATTGTGGGCCCCACGATTTTCCCAGGGTCATGGATCTCCATCTCCCTTTCCATTTTTACTCCTTACTCAGTTACTCGTCATGTCAGTGTCAGTCGTCCCCCCTACAGTTCCGGCTTTTCAGGTTTCCTCATTTCCCTTCCCCGAAAAAGTACTTCTGGTCCAAAAATTCAAAAAAAGTGATTTTGAATATTATTAGCGGATTGCCTCCATTTTAACCTTTAGGCTATGTTTGGTTTAAAGGAAAATGCAGGAAAACGAAGGAAAAACTTGTATAGGTTTTCCTGTCTGTCTTTTCTTACCTTTTACTTCAAACCAAACATAGCCTTAGCGATTATATTAGGACGAACATGCCTAATGCAGATTTCTAAATTTCACTGCAAATGTATAAACACTCAAAATGTCAAATACCTCCATTTTATGCACCAATGCCCCCACTGTAAATTGGTTTCAATTCCAAACTGACAACTTATTTTGGGTTTAAAAATTCTGATCCTAGGCTAAACTGTCATTACACGAATGTATCTGATTTGATTTTGATGATCATCAGATCCGTTTGTTTGTTGATTCGTCGTATTTTTTTTGGTAAATACAGCCATCAATAGAACACAGAAAAGAATAAAAAATAAAAACAACAGAACAAAAGATACCCTACACAACACTGCACATCTGGTGCAAGATAGCAGAAGGACAAAACCCTTGCCAGACAAGTACTATCCCTCAGTTTATCAATGGGAAGATAGATCATAGAATTGGTAATATAAATGACATTTATAAGGGCATTCCCATCATTTGGCGTTTGTCCCCCCTCCCTCCCTCTCTCTCTCTCTGAACCGGATGGCCCGGGTCCAACCCCCTGCTCAGCTGGCTCAAGTGGATAGTCTTGATAGGCTTGATGTAGGGGTGTCAATGGACCAATTTCATATTGGACCTCATCCAAACCAAAATCAATTTGGATGGATAGGATGAACCAACCGGACATATTGCATTAGACCAATCTAAACATAATGGTCCAAAGTATTTATTGGATTGGGTTGGACCTGATCCATCCATAATAAATTTATATTGGATTGTGTTGGATTGAGCCAATATTTGGTCCATTGATAGAATAATAAGAATGTAAGTGTCTGATGGACCAGGTTTGGATTAGAATTAATCTAAATTAAAACAAATTCAAACAGATTGGATGGGATTGGACTTGGTCCATTTGTAATGGACTCGCATTGGATTGGACCACACCCATTCCAATTGACACCCCTAGTTTCATGGTCCAAAGTCATCAAGTTCTTATGTCTTCCAATCATATAACTTTCTTTTTCCCAATATTCTTTTATTTAGACTCTATTTGGGAAGAGTGTAAATGCCCGTTTTGCTCAGTTTAGAAGGAATACAAATACAAATACATACAAAATATAAGATTCTGCCCTCTACATATTTATATTTTTACTCTTTCCAAATAGAGCCTTCCAGTTTTACATATATTTAATAAGAATGCATTTGTGTATTGAAGATGATAGCAAATGCGGATCATAAGGCTCAGTTTAGATGGAGTACAAATACAAATGTATAGAGTACAAAGTCTTGTGCTTTATATTATTTTGTATATATTTGTATTGTACATATTTATATTTGTATTTGTACTCCTTCCAAACTGAACCTAAGACATTAGAATTCAAAATGAGATAGATGCAAACTTTTACGCTGAAATTTGGTCAATGTAGACTTCAGTCTCATGATTTATATCAACTAGAGTATGAAAAATTATCATTACAAAACTAAATCAAGTTTACATTTTTATTGAACCAGACATATATTTATATTTGTACCAAACATTATTGTATTCCTAATCTTCTCAAACGGAGTTTTTTTTATTCTTTTGCCTTATCGAGTCGACCATCTCTTTTAATGGACCTACCACATTAGTTATAATATGCACATGGTAAGTAGCCGTTCATGCATCAATGATCATACAACTAAGCTGGGCCCATGACATAGGCCCAACAAACTCAACCAAAAGCAAAGATACATGCGTCACAACTCACAAACCAATCTATGGCCCAATGCTCGCTATAATTGAACTTATTTTAAATTTCCTAACTTATCTCATCCCAAGTTAAATAAAACCACCAAAAGGAGATTCTTTTAAATAACTATACATATTCCCCCCACTACAATCATTATTCTCACCTCTAACCTTTCTTCTACCCTGTAAAGTGGGGGTAGTTGCCTTTCCTCTTTATAGAGTGCAACCGGGTGGAAATGAAATGACCAACAGCTCGGAGTTTTGTCCAAGACATAATGGGCCTACAGTCCAGCACTTGGCCCAGGCACAAGAGTGACTTAGGCCCAGAAGTTGGAACCTGTGTCCAAGGTTCAAAGTAACAATATGTATTCTACTGTATTGTATAATATGTATGGGTTTTCAGGAACCCTAGAGGTTAATGACAAATGGTCATATTCAAAAACTGATTAAGGTCTGGTGGTTGAAACCTATAGGAAACATTGACAGAATGGCCAATGTGTTGTTGGTGTCATTGCCAGAGATAGTGAAGGGAGAACCTTGCTGTCATTGCCCTCATCAATAATTTTCCCTAAACCAAACTGATGACCTTCCATTACAGTTCAGAGCAAAAGTTCGCCACCAAAGATGGACACTGGAATGACAACCTTGGAAAAGGACTTGCGTACACATTTTCCTGTATACCTGAATTGAATCCATGGTTGGGCTCAGGTGCGGCTAAATAAGACCAAGAATGAAAAGCTTCAGACAATCATCAGCACTGATGACAGAATATTGTAAGAGAAGGAACAACAGCACAGCCAGGGAAAAAGAGAAGAAACAAAACATGAAAAAGAAAAAGAAAGAAGACATGAAAAGAAAAAGAAAAAGGTGTATACTACTGAAGAATATACATAACAGGCAAGATCAGTATATTGACATTGATTACTATCAACTCGGTAACAAATCTAGGATGTTAAAGCGAAGTGCAAGAAGATATGCATACTTGAGGCTTGAGGTTGTACTAAACCAAGCATAGGATACCCATCAAGGTAATATAATCTAAAGCATTTTTGAAAAGATTCGCTCTTATAGACATAAAAGTCATCCAACCTCACAAATTTCCATCTCCTACTCCCATCCCACCCCTTTAGGCCCCATGCCAGTGCTGCAGAAAGAAAAGTGGTAGGTACCCTTTTTCAATAGCCAAAATATTTTGATGCCAACAAGAGTAAAGGCTCCAATGCACTGGGGGAAAATTTCCTTGCAAAAAGAAAGCAGACTGAAGAAGGCAGGTTATTGTAAAGACAGCTGTTACCTTCAAGAATTCTCTTCAGGAAGTCCTCTGTAATATCAGCATTCCCAAATGTAGCCGGGTGAGCACCACCCCTTGACCAGTCTACCCAAGTAATGCTCCTGTTTGCCAAGAGCTGTGGTGTCTGAATAGTCAGCATGGTAGGGAAATAATGCTCATCCACATAACATGCCGGTTTGCAGAACTCTTCAAACTTTGGGTAGAATGTAACATCCTCCACTATATTGACTGCAAGCCTCCTATTAATTTCAAACCACTGAGACCCCTTACGCCACTGAGTGATGTTAACTTCAGGTGCCATGTTCTGATTATAGCGTCCTCTACCATAGGGGCCTGGATCATCAAATGCCCCCATAAAGCTATACCTGGAACTTGCTATGTGGTGGTAGACAATGCTAAAATTATACAGAGGAATACATGATTCAGACACAAGCACGAACCTTTCATTGGAAATATCAAGCAATGCATTTGCTAGGAGTCTCCTTTCTGCATCGCACATGCTCATCTTCCCCCACTCAGCCACCTTCAAAGGAAGAAACCACAAAATTTAGAATTCATGATCAAAGAACACAGAGTGTTTCTTTTTAACAGGTCTAAATAAAATACCATGGGATGAAGTATCTTTAGTCTAGAAGATGGAAAATTTTAAAATAGGTAATCATTGGTATTTTTTTTTTTTTTTGAAATAAGTTAACTGATTTCATTGAATAGAAAGAGGGGGTACACAAGGTGTACAAGTACAAGACAGGGGTCAGGCCCCTGAAGATTACACAGGTGGAATTTTGTCATGTTACAAGGTCTCCAGATTAGCATACATGCACACACAGATTAGTTCTTCAAAGAGCTCTCAGGTGTAGAAAAAGTAAGTTAGCAACTAACCACATAAATGATACCATAATATATGACGCTTGGATAAAATAATGCAACAATAATATAGAATCCTTGGTTCAATTACAATTTACAAACCATACCCAGTCCACCCCTCCTAAGACCCCCAGATAGCTAGGACCAACATTGTGTAATTGCCTTCTTAACGTCCAAATGGTTTCCATGAGGCAATTCAACAAGTTAATCATCTGAAATATCTCACATTGTTTTTCAATGCATGCATATGCACCAGAAATAAAATTTCAAGTAAAGACCAAATATCAGATTGAATTAGCTTTCTGCTGCAGGAAAGGGCAGAATTAAGGCACAACTAGTCTTCTCTAAGCAAGTCAAGAGCAATTGCTTCTAAACAACACCAAAGTAAGATGCTGATTCTCTGCACTATACTGGGTTGAAGAAGCACAAAGTTAAAAACCATTTTTGAGTTTCTGCAATTCCTTTAGAATTTTATTAGAGCAGAACTACTTTTGATGCTTCAAGGTCTAAAGTTGGCTCACTTTGTGGGTTGGTCTCATTTGATTGGTTTAGGGGACCGCAAAGCTAAGATTGGATAGCTGTTCATTAGCATAAATGGTCCATGGATTCTCAGACACCGCACTACTGAGTATCCAGATCAGAAATGATGTTACCCATATTCAGCCAGGGGAATGGCTGAGAGAGAACTTTGTATGGAGGTGGCAGGCCTGGTCCACAACAGTGGCTGAGAGGGAATTTTCTCTCTTCCTATTCTTGCATGATCTGGTCCAGATCACACAATCTGGTGTATCTGTTCAAGTTTATTCCTATCACATGTTTTGTGATAGTGAGAAAATTGTTTCTTGAAAATAAATTAGATGCATGTTGAATTACAAGTGCCCATTGAGTTATCCAAGTGTTTCCAGCATCAAAGATTCCTTAAGCGTTATACATGTTCTAAGACCCTGTGCCCCATACATGTTCTATGAAATACTTAAAAGGAATACGGCTTTTCTAAGGGAGATCTTGTCTAAAGGCCATTTACTTTTAGTTCTAACTATGTGTCAATTGAAGGTATTTGGTATATTAATGTCTCAGGTAGAGTGTTCCTTGTTATCTTTCTGGTTTGATCTTTGATAAGTTGGCAGTGTATCATTGTTACTAGGCAATGCGCCAATAGGTGGACTTCATGATTGATCATATCTTGGGTAAAAATCATGATTCACCATGAGTATCTTATCAGTTGAAGACTTTCTTTGTCATGAGTAAAAGCTGAATGTCATTGTGATTTGTGAGCGAAATCCTGCTAATTAGATACATATAAGTGTTATGTAAGAACTAGCAGCCACTGTTATGCTAGAATCTTTAACTTACCTTGCTTGGGAGAATCTTTAAGTTAACTGCTGTCTTACTGCAAAGTTACATTGTTTCTTTCAAAGTGTTGGCTTGAAGGAGAATGTTGGAGTATTCAGACTAATTCCTATGAAAAATTAGTTACTTTAGAAAGAAAATTTAAATTCAGGGACTTTAATGTAATATCAGCCCCATGGGTCTTTTTTATAGTTTTGGATAATTCTAAATATTAACATAAGAGCGTCTTTCAAGAGATGGACGTAAGTGTGTGGCGATATTAGACCCAATAGTCTCCTCTTCTCTTCTCTCTTCCCTCATCTTATACACAACAAGACAAGCCTCAATAGAAGAAAAGCACAATAAGACTGCCAGTTCCCTAATGCCACATATATAAAGAGAGAGACACACACAGATTGAGGATTTATAGCTTTATTGTCACTGGGAGCATAAAAGAGGAGCTCTACCAAACTTATAAGGAAAACAATGTAATGGGGAAGTTCCAACTACACTCTCCAACCAAGTCCGGATATGCAAGAAACAAAGTGGGCTAGGCAACCTACCAAGAGTGAACATGCTAGTGTTCCGTATACATGGGACCATGTGGGACCCACACCTTATGTGGATGGAACACTAGCGTGTTCAGTCTTGATGGGTTGTCCAGCCCACTTTATTTCTAGCCCATCCAGTCCCTCTCCAACCCAGACTTACAGCCTCAACCATCAGAAAATAAGAGAACCTTCCTAGGGGGAGAGAGGAGTTTCAGCCACAATATATAGAACTAATCATTCTCCCTATAATAACCATATAAAAAAAAAAAACAGCTAAAAATGCCCTCTGAGTTGCTTCCCCACCATGGTTTAAAATGTCCCTAATTTCCTTAATATTCCCACTTCCATGGGTAGCGACACGAAATTTTACCAGAATCAACATTTCCCCAATGAACACTACCAGCACCATGTGGAGTACAACAAATAGTTTCCATGACATATTTCCACTTCCACTTCCATAGGTAGCGACATGAATTTTACAAGAATCAACATATTCCCCAGTGAACACTACCGGTACTATGTAGAGTCCAAGAGATAATATTATAACGTAATGTGGTACACTATTGTAAATATGTTAAGTAACAATGTTATTGTCCACCTAACTTACATGATTACCACTTTGAGCAAGTTCAATATTCATTTCAAACATGAAGTTAAATATTAGTTTTTTGTTTGTCTAATATATTATTTGGTTGATCTATTACAATCATTTACATTTTCTATGAGTTAAAATTTTTCTTGCTCTGAATCTTAAATTTCACAGGGCAACTTCAGAATGTATTCTTTGTCTATAACCTTAGTTTCTTAGCCTTGTTTAATGATTTCCAACAAGATAATAATTTAAAAAGGCATGCCTATGCTTCTTTTATCATTTCATAAAACATCTTTCTATATTTTGTATATTTTAGAATGTTTCCACCATGTTTATAATTTTTACAATATTTCCATACGATATTTCCAACATGTTTCTTATATTTGGATAGCCGATATTTCCACTGACATCGACATTTTAAACCTTGTTCCCCACAAGGTTGTTCAAATAAAGATAAGATAGAGTTTTTGCTGACTTCCTATTTAGACAGGCTTTTAAATGGTAGCTTCATTTTATGGAATCAAGGAACATTTCTCTTTTTGAAGGCATTGCCAGAAGTTGTAAGCATGACTCCTAGCCAAAACCAAAGATCATTTTGTATCTTGATCTCAAGTGAGGAACTTCAGTTCAGTTTGCAGTCCCAGGTTAGAAGATGCTTCAACCAAACCCAGCCAAATAGTGAAATTGAGATGTAATTCTTGGGTAGACCACAAGGACGTATCAACAACATCATCATCATCGTCTTCCATGCCTTATTCCAACTATATGGGGTCGGTTACATGAATCCTGTTTCACCAATATGTTTTATTCAACACCATATCCACTGTTAAATTATTAGTGCTTAAATAAGGACGTGGCAATAGCCATTCATGAAAGAAAAACCGTATGACAATCATAAAAAAGGAAAAAAAGAAAAAGAAGAAGAAGAAAGAAAAGCTCTATGCTAAACAAGCACGTAACCTTCTATTTCCTGAGATCTAAAGATAAAGGAATTCAAATAGGGTTGTGCTGATATCAAAATTATGGAAGTACCGAAGAAGAAAACACTCCTTTAACATACAAAATGCAACAGCAGCAGTAGAATCTGTATATTGCTTCTTCACTAAAACAGAGAAAATGGAGAAAGGATAAAAATAGAGAAAGCAATAACTTATAATGACAATACCCCTAAAAACATTATAAAAGGGCAAGAGGGGATAGACATCCTAAGCAAATTTGAACCTGAAAATATTTCATTCAGGCAGAGGACTGTCCGAAGTATGTGTAATCGCATAGTAAAAAGCACAGAAAACTAGAGAAGCAAGAAAAACAGGATAGATATGAGAACTGGAGAAGCTCATACCTGGCTGGGAATTTGTCTTCGATAAAAGACTGATGTAGGTTGGAAGTCAGAATTGTAAGATGGCAATGAATGAACATAGATCGAATAAAGCCCTTCATGGCCCTTAAAGAACCTCTCCCAGAGAGGCGCAAGCGGCAATGGACCCCTCGCCAGGAACAAGAAAGCAATCTTGGGGACTCTCACAAAAGGATACGTCTTTACTCGAGGAACGAATGAAGCCCGCCAGAAGAGCTCCTTATCACTCATCATGTGCATCGGATGGGAGGGTGGTCTGATCCAACGCTCTAGATTACTGGGCCCTTCGAAGCAAGATTGGAAACTGGGTCGTGCTGTGGAAACAATATTCCGAGCTCCGAAATACCGGACCATGTGCATACTAAGTACGGAAAACCCAATACCCAGAACCAGAAACACCACAAAGAACTGCAATACCCACAGCGGGAAAACCCTGTACTGGGTAGTTCTGGTTATGGCGGCAGGGTCATTGCCTTCCTCCAATGTTGGAACTCTTGGCTTCATCTCAAAATTAAAGGATTCTAATGAGTTCACCTTCTGGATATTGTGTCTTCTGAATAGCAAATTCAATAACGCAATTTCTTGTCGAGAAGTCGTTTAAATCTGAGAGCATCCCACCGTTCACCGCCGTCAACTTTACTTCCTCCGATGCGAGAGCAGTGAGCTAGAAAGCATGTTAGAACAAAATTTCTTGAAAAGCTAGCGCTTTCACCATGTGGACATTGGGGTTCGGATGATTTTATCAATACCTTCGTCTTTGTAGGATCAGCATCTCAACAAGACCTGAAAATTTTCCCAAGTAAGGTCAACTTACTTTTTTTTCAAACACAAAACAGAATGGAAGATAGCAGTTTGACGAAAGAATGGTAGGAAAGGTAAGAACAAAGAACTAACCATCTGAAAGTCAACAGAAGTCGGTCGTTGGTTCATTCGACGAAGAAAACAGAGTAGAATATACCGTGTTATAAGGGAAAGGTGAGGAAGGGATTGGATATGTACCAGATGAGAATCGAGAGTTGTGTGTTAAGGAAAGTAACGAAGGCTAATTACTGAGTGTGCATAACCGATTCGTTCATGCTTCTTCACTGCTTGAATTACGCCAGTTTTGTTTGTATTGGCTATTGAATGAGATAATGAGGTTTAGGAGAGGTTTAAAGAGGTTTCCTTCTTCCGCACTGAAAATCGATGAGTAGAAATCGTGGGAGAGAGAGAGAGAGTCTGGATTCGCTGCTGCAGCGCTGAGAAAGTTTTAAAGGGAGTAAGTCAGACTCGTTTTTGAGTCTTTTTAAAGGGAAGTCTTCTGATACTGGGTTCGTTCTTTCCTTTGTTGGGTTGGTTGAACGGTGTCCGGTCCACCACCAATAAATTTGCGCCAAGTGGTTTTGAAAAAGGGTGGGACCACAGAGAATGGGTCCATTTATCATTCTTTATGCCAGGTAGAAAAACAGAAAACAGAATGATTCTTGCAAGAAATGCTCAGATTCTTTCGTCAACAATTCAGTTTATCTGTCTCGATACCTGTTTGGCAGAAATAGGGTCCAGCTGATTCTAATTCCCATTTGGATTCCTTTCTGAACAGACTATAGACACAGAACATTCAAATTCCAATTACAAGGGATTTATTACAACTATGAATCAAATGAATCGTTAAGGTTGTATTTGGAACCGATGTAAAACGTCGCCGAGTAAATATTTTTTGCCGGTTTAATTTTGTCAGCATTTATAAAGAGTGTACAATTATGATCGGCATAAAATTCTACTCCAGTTCATTTTTGCATACATTTTATCGGAATGAAGTTTTATGTCATAAATCGATGTAAAAATTCATTAAAATAGAGTTTTAGATTGATTATTGATAAAATTCCCCTTTTTCTCATACACATTTTTTGAAATTCAAACGGTTACATTTTTAATAGTTTGACTAATCGGTGTATTTTTACACTGATGAACTTTGTACATCCTTCCAAACGAATCCTAAAATTTTCAAATAAACACAATCTGTTTGAAATGAGGAAATTCAAACATTTAATACAATTCAGGTTCCGTGTTCTTCTCTAGACTCTCAAAGATGGTTGCGTAAAAATTCAAAGTGAGAAATTTTTTCAGTCAAGAAGATTATCTTTGCTTTGAATTTTTTATTAAAGACAAGAAAGAACCTGGTTTGTTAAAAACCATTTCTTTTATTTTCTGTTTCCCTATTGCTTTCTCAAACCATATACAGCCTTAATCTCTCCATAAGCACCTTTGTTCTCCTTAATTACCCTAAAAAAATGGTAAATATCATATGATGTGAACGTATCAAGACTTTGAACCATGTTGGAAACTTGTGAACGGAGACCAGGTTTATGAAAAAATGATAGGGACCCTGAAATCAAACATGTAGAGAGTAGAGACAGCTTGGTAATAGCAGAAATGCATGAAACGAAGGAAATTTGCCTGTTCTTTTTCGGAATTTTGAGAGGCAGAAAGTTGGTCAATGGGATTTTGATTTCCATTGACCAAGAATCTCATTTTTTTTTTCAGATTTATATGGGGACTAGGGAAAGTTTATTTTTCTACGTACTCATCTCCTAAGTGGATAAATAACCTTCCCACGTTGGGGGGGGAGGGGGGAATTGCCAACACATGAATGGGACAAAATTTTCACTTTTAATAATAGATTTTTATGACTAAAATGATCATTGCCTTATTTACATGGGAAATAAAAGAACATGGGTAAATGCACTTACCTGGGTAAATCTTTCCTAGGAAACACTTACCCAGGTAAATACATTAACTAAGGTAAGTAACTTACCAAAAAGCGAACAGGGCCTTATAGTTATTAGGGATGTTCATTCGGTCAATTTGGATTGTAAATTAAATTTAATCGATATTTTGGGTAGGTCATTTTCATGAATTAAAACAAATTAGACTTGAAAATTGAATCAAATTCAAGCAGGTCCAATTTGGTTTTAAATTGGTCAACTTTGTTAGTTAAAATGTAAACGTATGCTATATTTATATTAATAATTATTGTTAAAATATATCAACATTTATAATTAAAATACATATTATATATTATTATTAATATAAATAGTAATATTAATATATATTGATGGTAATATTAATATTACTATTCATACTTAAAATATAAATATATGTGATGGTGCGCGATCTAGATACTCCTAGTTGGAAGATGATTCAAACTCTAGTTGCGCGGGGAGTTGGACCAGGCTACAAAATAGTAGATTAGAGAACCCGAGGTGACTAACCTGGCGAGGTCGCTCCGATGCTTAACTCAGTACTATACTGTGGATGCGAGCTGAATACTTGAATGCTTGAATGCTAGTGAGTAAATAATCACACGTACCTTTGCCTTGGGGTTTCATGTCCTTATATAATGGAGTAGTCGTGGGCCTTACGAAAGAGCGCTGGGATCTTTGGGTTGTGCGGATAAGATCTGTTCCATTTCTGAATGAGAGCAATGTGTTGATAAGGTTTATTGTTTACCTTCCAATTCAGATGGAGCTAGGATGAGTCTCGTCGTGATCTCGAGAAATTCGGGGTCCATTGGGGAGGCCTTTGGAGTCAATTATGTGGTGTTTCGGCTCTTTAGCTCCGAAGTGCAACTTCGGTTCTTTAGTCCCGAACCGGATTGGGTGTCGAGGTGTCTCTATGCCGAGGTGGTTTTTTGGCTAAGGTGGCTAAATACCTGAGCTCCGGATGTTGCGAACTGGGTTCATTTGGCTGAGTTGTCACCCCTCAAGCAGATCGCGTCTACGTGTCCCCTCTTTACTAGGTCATGCCAAATCACCCTTCATCAATTGCCCCCCACTCCTCGTGCCAGGGGTCTGACCCGGTGCGGGGAGTTCATAACGAGTCCAGGTGGATTTGGTACGAAGTCTAGGCGACTTGGAGGGCAAACCATTGGATGGACCTGTTCAATCATGTGGCTCAACCATGAAATGACACAGATCATGTCTCGGTCACGCGCAGACATCACACTATTCATAAATTCCGCGGACGCCAAAGGGTGCGCTCAACCGATTTCATCCTCAGGTAGCGTGCAACCGGTTTTCATGGGAGTCGTCGAATCACACAGATCCCAACCGTTGATTACAGGATGTGGTGGACTATAAATAGGGGGCGGAAGGGGCCATTATCCTCGCCAAAAATAGTGTAACTGAGCTTTCTTGAGATCACGTTGGAGTCCTTCAGCTCGTCATTCTCTCCCTTGTATTCGAGGTCGTTATCGTCTTCTTTGGTGATTTCATCTCCTTTCACTAGTTTTTTTCTTTTCTTGTCCAATATGTCTAGTGCTAGCATAGATAGGTTACTTAGTGATTCTAGCGAGCCCGGGGGTGCCGAGGTGCGGCCTCGGCTCCCGTCGGTGAGGCCAGTTCTTCACTAGAGAGCTCATCTTTAAACCTTTTAGGAGAAATGCCTTTACCTGACGTTGGGCCATCTCGGCTTGAGAAACCCGAACCTCAGGTAGAGTGGCCGACCTCCAGAGAGGGGATCTCGTTTTCTACTTGAGATCGGGATCCGGACAACTTCGGCCCTTCCACGATGACCTCGGACAGGTTGTTGTCCTTGATAGCTCGTTACCGTCTCCCTGACACTTTTGTCTTCAGCATTCCTTTGGGTCAGTACCCTTGGTTTCACGATCATTACAAACTCGTGGTTTTTGAGGAGCAGCTCGTAGCTGGGCTACGCTTCCTACTCCACCCCTTCATCGTAGAAATCATTAAGTTCTTTAACGTCAATATTGACCAGCTACACCCGAACTCCATTTGTACCATTGTCAGTACAATCTCACTCTTCCACGAGTATAACCGACATCTTACCCTAGACATCTTTACCTTGATTTGTTCCATTAAGAAGAACTCTTCTTGCCTGCACAGGAACACCCGGCGGAGTTAGTATATCTCACCTTGCCCCGGGTTCAAGGTCCTATTCGGTAACCCGAACAAGGTATCGGCCTGGAAGAGGAGATACTTCTTTGTTCGGAACCCTAAAGAATGGCCATTCCCGACTCACTGGCGAGTGGCCATTAAGGACCCCAGGGTGAGGCTGGATGTAGAGACTTGCGCGGTCATCCACTCTTGGAGGGACCTCAACCTTGAGATGGAAGATTTCTTGGCTAAGGAGAAGCTTGTATGAGCTAGGCTGAGTCCTCCTGGTAGGCCTCCACCTCGGCACACACATTACTTCTCCTTTTTCCTTTTCGCACTTACTTCAGTTCGCAGCTAATTCTTTTTCTTCTCTCTTGTAGAAGCTATGATGGGTGTTGACGCCGCTAACCTTCTAAGGAGTGTTCAAAAGGGGAAGAAGAGAAAGACCTCGAAGAGGTCCTGTCAAGAGGAGGCCACCTCTTCAGTTCCTACCGAACCCGAGGTCACAGTGCCATAACCTCCCTCTGCTGAGCTCCTAGGGGAAGAGGTTCACCCCCAACCTTCGATTGTTGACTTGGACGAGGATCAGGATGAGGGGACCCCACCTCGCGAGCCCGAAGGTACTTCGGTGCCTGAGCCTCAGCCCCTCAACAAAGGAGAGCATAATGACTCTTAGGCTCGGGCTTCTTAAGAGCAAAGATGCCATGTTTCCTACGGAGGTCACGGAGTGGGCTGACATGCCAACAAGTCAGCTCGGAGGGAGGGCAGGTAGCTATTGTATGGTGGTAAGTAACATGCCCCTTCGTTTACTTTCTTATTCTTCTGTCAATGATACTTACACTTGCTTTCTATTTTTTAGGTGAACTCCGCTATCCACTCGCTAGTCTATCAATCTGAGATCCGCTTGAAGCGAGCTCGGGAGGCCGAAGAGAATGCTCGGAAGCTTTACCGTGAACTGGGTTTAGCTTGAGGTGAAGTTATTAGATCCAAGAAGGGAGCTCGGAGTTAGGAGGAGCTAATCCTAGTGTTGACGGAGGAGAAGAAGAAGCTCAAGGGGGGGAAGGAAGCTCTCCTCCCGAGAGAACAAAAACCTTGAGGTGATGATCAAGGAGCGAACTGAAATCTCCGACACCGCCATCCAGGAGGCGAGAATTCAGGAAAGAGATTGTGCCATCAAGGAGTTCAAGGAGTCCTTCGAGTTTCACGACCTCCAAGTCGAGTATGGCTCTAGCTCGTATTGGTCGGGCTTCAAGCTCTACAGGTGGTTGATGCAACAGAAGTTCCCTAAGCTCGATTTTGGATCCATCTCCATGTCTACTATTACTCCAGAGATGGCGAAGGAGGCTGACGAGGAACCTGACTCCTCCGAGGGAGAAAGCGATGACAAAC